GAGAGAGAGAGAGAGAGAGAGAGAGAGAGAGAGAGAGAGAGAGAGAGAGAGAGAGAGAGAGAGAGAGAGAGAGAGAGAGAGAGAGAGAGAGAGAGAGAGAGAGAGAGAGAGAGAGAGAGAGAGAGAGAGAGAGAGAGAGAGAGAGAGAGAGAGAGAGAGAGAGAGAGAGAGAGAGAGAGAGAGAGAGAGAGAGAGAGAGAGAGAGAGAGAGAGAGAGAGAGAGAGAGAGAGAGAGAGAGAGAGAGAGAGAGAGAGAGAGAGAGAGAGAGAGAGAGAGAGAGAGAGAGAGAGAGAGAGAGAGAGAGAGAGAGAGAGAGAGAGAGAGAGAGAGAGAGAGAGAGAGAGAGAGAGAGAGAGAGAGAGAGAGAGAGAGAGAGAGAGAGAGAGAGAGAGAGAGAGAGAGAGAGAGAGAGAGAGAGAGAGAGAGAGAGAGAGAGAGAGAGAGAGAGAGAGAGAGAGAGAGAGAGAGAGAGAGAGAGAGAGAGAGAGAGAGAGAGAGAGAGAGAGAGAGAGAGAGAGAGAGAGAGAGAGAGAGAGAGAGAGAGAGAGAGAGAGAGAGAGAGAGAGAGAGAGAGAGAGAGAGAGAGAGAGAGAGAGAGAGAGAGAGAGAGAGAGAGAGAGAGAGAGAGAGAGAGAGAGAGAGAGAGAGAGAGAGAGAGAGAGAGAGAGAGAGAGAGAGAGAGAGAGAGAGAGAGAGAGAGAGAGAGAGAGAGAGAGAGAGAGAGAGAGAGAGAGAGAGAGAGAGAGAGAGAGAGAGAGAGAGAGAGAGAGAGAGAGAGAGAGAGAGAGAGAGAGAGAGAGAGAGAGAGAGTGAGAGAGAGAAGCGCGAGTGAACGCGTAAGTGAATATGCGAGGAGCATGAAGCGATACGTAGTTCATAGCGAGCGAGCGATTAGAAAGAGACAGAGCGTGACAGAGCGTATGATTGAGAGAAAAAAGATACTGCAATAATGTTAGTGCGTACATGTATATTACTCTCTCACGCATGAAAGAGACGAAGATAGTACGATTATGTCTGTGTTTGTCATGTACGATTGCAGCTCTGTCTATCGCGACATCACGCAACTAATCTACTGCTCTGTTTTACTCTTGAGCCTCCATCTCGCACACACACATATGCACGAAAATTTTATTTTGCAGATTCTTTTTTATAAAGCTTCTAAACTCACTTCTTTAAGTTCATTTATACTCTTTGATGAAATGCCGAGTGCGGGGTTTACTGATTAGGCACGTGCAGATTACAAATCTTTTATATTAAGTAAATGTTGACGGCACAGGCCGATAACTAAACTGTAATTTTATCATTTTTTTCCACTTTTCATATGAAATGTTAAACTCCGCCCTCCGTTATTATGTATACTTTAATTGTGGAAAAGGATTTTTTGATATCTATAATCAAAAAAAAGATTTTGCAAAATAAAGTTTTTATCGGTAAAACAGACCCTTTGGGATCCCCTTAAGCACGCGAAGTGCAAGATAGGGAGCGCATGTCATTCCGTAAGTGACCGTAAGTAATTGATAATCGATCGGACAGTCCGTGTCACCTTGCCAAAGAACGCGTTGATAATCAATATCCTTTTGATCGACCAAAATCTGTCGATACATTTTTGCGACATCGGCAGTATAAACGAATTTAAATTGTCGCCATTGCAGTAGAATCGCGGGTAAATCCGTTTGCAATTTTGGACCGGCAAGTAGATGATCGTTCAAGGACGAGCCGTTCGACGTAACGCTGGATGCGTTAAAGACGACGCGTAAGTGCGTCGTGGCACTACCTTCCCGGAAGACCGGATGATGCGGAAAATATACGCACTGATCGAGAGGGGCTTGCGTTTCCGACACCCGACGCATGTGCCCGAGCGTTTCATATTCGCGCATGAATTCCGAATATTCATTTGCCAAATCTGAACTTGAGCAAAACCGACGCGACAACGAATTATATAGTCGTTCGGCAGAGACTCGTGACCGTCCGATATCAATCGGAGGACATTTCTTAAAAGGCAATCGCACAATATAACGTCCTTCGTTATTGCGCGAATGCGTCTCTTGATAATGAGCTTCACACTGCTCATCTTGAGGCGAAAGAGTTTGCAATTGAGGAAGTTTCTCAATTTCCCAAAATCGCCGAATGTCTTCGGCGAGATGTTGTAGAGATGTGCAATGATGCACCGTGATATTAACGGAGGATCGACCTGCCGGACTGTCTCCAGTAAGAGAGCCATAAAATTTCGAATTCTTTTTGAGAGGACCGGAGATGATCCATCCGAAAATTGTCTCTCGCGCAGCGAGTTGCCCGACCATCCCTTTGCGACGGCCATCGAGGAGCAGATCATGATATATATCCGCCCCGAGAATAGCCTGAATCGGATCGGAACCGGTTGGATCATTATTCGCCCATGTTATGTACGAGATATGCGGAAAAGAGTTAAGATCTGAAACGCGAGTCTGAGCATATGCCGTTAATGAATTTAAAATGAGCGCTATTGTAGAGACCGACGAAGTATCAGCGGCGCGAGACGAGATAGTGATGGAGGCGGCATGTCGAACCGTGCCGGCATGGACATTGCCGACGGCAGTGATTGACCTCATTTTGCGAATGCGTTTGGCTTGTAATAATTGCGCTACGTTCTCTGAAATTAATGTAGCTTCGGAGCCCTGATCGATCAGAGCCCTCACCGTTACAGAGCGACCGGAAGCGACCTTGATTTGGACCCAGGCGGTCGCGAGAAGAACCTGCGAATTAATACCAGGTTTCGTGGAAGCCGATAGCGAGTCGACTTCAACAGTTGTCATAGACGATTGCGCCGACGGCGCGGGTGGCGGCGTAACCGCCGAAGCGCCAGCAACTGAATCCGAATCAGCGTGAAGCACCGAATGATGTCGTTTATCACACGACCGGCACGTGTATTTACTCTTGCACTCCTGAGCGGAGTGACGAGTACTCAAACAATTGAAACATCGTTTAAACCGTTTGACGACTTCCGGACGCTGATTCGGATTCTTTGCAATAAAATCCGGACAATGATTCAGAAAATGTCGTGACTTGCACAACGGACAAACCATCGAGACGCCGAGAGACGCCGTCATTACATTGACGCGCGATGCATGCGCGGATTTGGCCGCCGGTTTTGCAGTAGAGGCTGGCGAACATTCCTCCAGTGCGCGAATGCGAGAAAGGACGAACCGATTCAGATCTTCGTACGTTGGCGGCGTTTCGACATGGCTCGTGTGGAGAGTCCACGCCTTGCGAGTAGCATGATCTAATTTTTGAGACAATATATGAACGAGCATGTCGTTCCAGAGATTACTCGGAGATCGCTCTAACTTTTGCAAAGATGCGATCGTAATGTTAATTTTATCGCAGAGAAGCTGCAGATCTGAAGCCGACTCTCGAGACACTGCCGACAAGCCGAACAACGTAGAAAGATGCGATGTGAGTAATCGTTGCTTGTTCTCAAATCGCGCAGTCAACGCCTGCCATGCAGTTGAGAAGTTATCCGCGGTAATCACGATGTTCCCAATGGTCTCAAGAGCGCGGCCTTTCAATAAAGATGCGAGATAATGCATGCGCGCGAAATCGCTAACGTCCCGATTCTTTATGTAACGATGCATTCCCCCATCGTTACTAGACCGTACCCGGCCGCCGATCCGCCGGAAGTCCGCCGCCCGACGAACACCGGTCGGGCAAATGCGGAGGCGCTGAGCGCCCATTTTTAAATAATATCAGAAACGCGTAAACATATAACCGCCGTTAGGCGCGCGAAAACATCGAGAGCCGACGACGCGCTCGGGTAACCGCCCGACCGTTACCGAAAATACCCGAGTCGCGCGC